CAATGCCTGGCTATTTTTTTTTTTTTTTTTGTTACAGTTGTCATTGTTTAGCTGGCCTGGGGCCAGGTTAGAACCCACCAGCCAGTTGTACTCCAGGCGCCAAGCCAAGACCAAACTAATTTTTGAGTTTAATTTTCTTTGTTCCTGATAAAAAGTTTAATAATGAAATAGCTGGAGAAAAAAAGGCAAGGAAAATAATCAACAAATCAGACGAACAAGCCTTAAATTGCCTTGAGTTGACTTACTACCAGCTTTTCTTCAACTAAAATTAACTATGCTCATATATGCTCATATATCCTTTTCTCATGTATATATACATTTGGGTGTATAACACCCAAATAGGTCAACTCTGTCACTTCCTCCAGTCAGCCTCCTTCCTCCACTCACCTCCACCCAAAGCGTACATGTACATAATACTTTTGCTATGTGGGGCTGTATAAACCTAGGAAAGCTGCAACCAATGAGGGGATTTAGGTCTGAGGACTCTCTAGATCTTTGACAGCACAAGTGTGTATCTCTCTCAGACTACGCAGTCCCTCACTGCAGCCTGCCTCCTGGGCTCCTTGCAGGAGCAGGGCATATGGCAGCTCTTAACTGTGTGATCCTGACAAGTTACTTAACATCTCTGTGTTTCAATTTCCTCTTTAGAAAAAAAATTTTGGTTGTTAGGAGTATGAAATAGTTAATATTTACAAAGCACACAGATCTTTATCATATATATGTCTGGCATATAACAAGCATTACAGGACTGTTTATTAGACCAATGATAATTAAAAGTTTTGAAATTCCACAAGTGGTAGAGTGAGTGGAACAGTGGGAACCACGTCAGTGGAAGTCATTCCAACATCACCTGTCGGTTCCTGCTACACATCCAAATGAAAGCTCCATCCATTCATTGCTAATAAATGCTATCTTTACGAAAATATATAAATAAAAAAATTTACAAACCAAGCTGTTTGAAATAGTCTTCCAATGAGCTCCAGGAATTCTTCTCAATTAAAGATCTGACAAGGCTCCATGGATGTTTTCTGTATTTCAAATCTGTGGAAACTCTAATAGAATAAGAAAGAGAGAATATTTATTTAAAGAACAGACTTTAGTTATATTAATGCAGTAACTGTAAGGTTGTATTCAATGGAAAGCCAAAAGGATTAAAATGCATTAAGATTATAAAGCAAAATGTGTTCATTGGTAATGACTTCTTTAAAAATTAATGTGTGCTGCTAATAATTCCATCAAATTGTTCTTCTAAGTACTTCCCATGTTATCTCTTTCCTTTCTTGCACCCTGAATTTTCTTTACCTAAAGAAAGGCTCAAAATAAATGCAAAACTTTCTAAATTTCTTGTATAAAAATCTCTAGTGGTCACACTCATTAGCTGAAAATAACTATATTAACTAAGACTAAGCCACCACTCTCTTCAATGCCCCAACATTTCTCACTTCCCACTGCAGCAGAGTGAACTACTACTCACTATGCGCTCTCCAGAATTCCCAGGCTCCTTGCTATTAAACAGGGTCATGTGCCTGGCTATGGCCAATGGATTGCAAGCACAATTTTACAGCTTTCTTCCTAAGGCAACTGAAACAATACATATTCTGGAACACAGAGCTCCAAGATGTTACAGCCTTCTTCAGCTGGAGCCTTGAGGGAGAAGCCCCACTTTTCTGCTGACCACTGCTGGATATGTAATTAGAACAAGAAACAAAGCTTTATTGTGTAAAGGTACTACTAACAATTCAGGATTAACAAATTACCAGGGCTTAATCTAGCCTATCCTGTAACACACTCATTTACGCTCACCTTAGTCTGCATTTGTGTTTCGCAGATCGGATGATACAGTATCTATTCAGGGTATAGAAGTAATCATGGTAGGGGACGTCATGTGTCATTACTTCTGAATCTACCAAATAAAACCGTGCTTCTCGACTCTCTTTATACAGTGTCTGCCAAAATAAGATTTAAAAAATTTTGTATGTACATGTTTCATGTATACAGTTTCTTGCCAGTTTAGAATATATATACTAGGATTCCTTCTGAGAAATTACAGAAGTCATAAGAAACCTGTTTACAAAGCTGGAAAAGCCTCCATGTTGGCTCTGCTGCCAGTGAATTAAGAAGGGACTGACAGAAACAGTGTTTGCTGCTTCTCTGTCATTTCACTGTACAACTACTTCTTCCTTTTAGGTATGAGGAGGGGCAAGGAACCAAATAATTTCTTGTGTGTATTATGTTATTAGTTTATAGAGTTTTACGTGGTTTTGTTAGGGGAACAATTCAAAAATCAATGGGACAAAGTAAGGATTCCACCACAAAATTCACCAAAGTTTAATAAAACCACCCTTTAACAAAACCACACCCAAAAAGTGAAAGAGGTTGGTAACCAAACAAAATATTGCTTATCCTAAACAGAATTTAAACTAGTTGCTGGCCAAACCTTTCTCATTTTAACCACACCTTTCCTAACTATCCTCCCAGGGGAAGGAAAAAAAAGGTTGGGGGGGGTGTCTGACATTGTCAAAGACTCCCCAATACTAAAATACCAAACTTTTCTTAAACGTTGACAACTTTTCAAGAAATTTTTAAAAGGTAAGGAGTAAGTTCTTTTTTTTTTTTTTTTTTTT